TGAATGTCATAGAATATTACTTCACTATAAGAAATGAATATGAAGAATTTAGGGAAGACTTGTAAGAACGGGATACAAAATGAAATAAGCAAAACTTGAGGAATATTTAAATGATGCCCACAAGGATGTAAAAGAAAACAACTAGGAAGGCTTCAGAAGTCTGATCAAGATGAGGAGGGGAGGTGTGCCTCCAGCCTCCCAGCAGACAGAGATGACCAATACAAATGCAAGACACTGTCAGACAAGGTCAATATGTTGACTTTATTGTACTTCTTTGTCCAACAGAGGGTTCTAGTGGGAGTCTGGGGAGAATCATTAGGAAGTGATTGTGGTTTTTTTTTCAAAGATCATCAATAAAGCATCAACCAAATGGGGAGTAGGGAGGGAAAACCAGGAGAGGAAGAACGGGGACTCAAAGAGATGAGGGTAGTTGAGAGGTTTAGAGCTCCTCAAAGTCTTCTTTGGTTTTGTTAATTAACCCTCATTAACCTCCTCCACCCCACAGGGTTCTGACTCCGAGCCTTTGGGCGGCCAATTAAGACTGAGATTAGCTGGACTGCATTGTTTGGGGTTTTGTTCAGTCTCAGGTTCTCTCTTTATTGCCATGACAAGGCTGGGGAGCTTGGCCAAGCATGGAAGGGAAGGGCAGGGAAGAAGGAAGGCCTTGGCAGGAGGGGGAACCGGGCAAGCTGGAATCATCCCAAATGAATCAGGGGTCATGAGGTGGCTTCCTTGACCCATCTCCCATCTGAGACTGCTTGACCAACTTGCTAGGGCTCCTTTTAGACACCTCGGGGTAGAGGAGACATAGGGGGAGGGGAGATATTTTACTGCCTCATGCTACGTCTGAGGAGGGTCAAAGTGGGAAGTTGGTCCCTTTAAGAAGAAGATATTCCAGGTTCAAGCCATCAGGCAATTAGCTACCGAAACACAAATATTTCTCCAAACCAAGTCCCATTGGCTTCTTTGGGGTAATTAATCATTCCCATGAGGTCACCCCCATGACACCCCATTAACTCTCTCCATGAGCCTGGGAGGTTGGCAAAGTCAGGTGACTGGCAAGTGGTGTCCCCAGGGGTCATACCACCCCCTCATGAACCTGGCTAGTCAGCAGCAGCAGTTAGCATCCAGGGCTGCTGAGAAATACTTGCCAAGCCTGGGGGATGCCAAGGTCCTTGCCTCTAAGACACACTTCCCAAGGAAGTGAGAGAAAGAGCTTCTGGAGAGATGAACCAGCCCAGCTGCTGCCTCTGGCCAGTATGGCCCCCTCAACCAGCATGGCCCCCTCAAGCAGTATGGTCAATTGGGAGAAGGATGGGATTTACTGTCAGGGCACATGAGGCAGAATTCCCAGCTCTGCTACCTACTAATTGTATCCCCTTAGATAAGTTACTTTACACCTCTGGGCCTCAGTTCCCTCCTTTGTAAAATAAAAGGGCTAGACCATATGATTCTTTCCACAGAACATCATTCCATGCTCTACCTCCACCACCCAGATCACTCCCTACTAGGAGGTTCTTCCTTGAGTCTAACCTCGATTTCTCTAGCTTAGAGATAGGAAACAGCTGTCATGGCCTTTCTGATGATGATTTTTCTTATCCCAGGCCTCCCCAACCAGGGCTGTAAAAGGAGTCCTCACCAAGATCCAGACATTCATAGGATCACCAGACTTATAACTTGAAGGAGGCCATCTAGTTTCATTGTCTCCTTTTAGAGGTGAGGACAAAAAGGCAGAGCAATGATAAGAGACTTGCCCAAGGTCGCCAATAGTCTTGGGAACCTGTGCCTCTGGCTCAAATCCCAACTGCCCTTCCACTAAGCACTCTGAATCCTCTCCCTGCCAAATTAACCAACAATAGAGCCAGATCAGGCCAAGAGCAGCCGTGCCTCTCTTTCTGAATTCTAGTTCTGAAGGGTACCTTACAGTACTTGGAGATCCCAAAAGAGCCTGCCCTTCTAGGGCAGAACCTCTCCCCCTTTCCTCTTAGAGGTATAGAAAGGAGGCACAGGGGCATCAGACACGGGATCCTACTAAGAGAAGCAACATGGAGTGACAGAGGGGAAGGAGTGACGGACCTGGAGTCAGAAAGACTTGGATACTAGCTGTGTGACCCTGGGCAAGTCACTTATATATCTCATGCCTCAGCTTCTTTATCTGTATAATGGGGACATCCCTTCCTTTACAGGGGAGGTGGGAAGCTCAAATGGGATCATGTCTGTCAGGTGCTTTGCAAACATTTCCAAGGGCCACCTCAATGTAAACCTTGATAATTATTCCAGAGGTTTGGGTTCAAGTCATATACTGTGGGTATTCCTGGTGCAGGGGATGGGCGCTTTCCAGAAGGAGGGGGACATAGCTGAGGGTACCTTGTGGCTTCCAAAGGTCCACAGCCTTTGGCATAGAAACAGGAGGAGGAAATGGCCGGCAATGAGAGTACTGGCCTCCATTGCTCTAAGGCTGTAAAGATGACAAAGCACTTTTCTTAGGAAACTGAGGCCAGCCAGGCAATTTCATAGATGGGATCATAGAGGTCTTAAGAGACGAAGTGACATAGGGTGGGTCATTGCCAAGGGGGGGATTCCAGTCCAGACCGTCCTGACTTCAACTCCAAGGTGCTTGCCACCACACCAGTCATGGGAGGCCACCACCTTTGGGACGTTGGGACCTTTCCTGAAGGGGCTCTTTTCTTCTTCCTTATCTATCGTCCATTCCTACCCCAGGTGGATGCTAGTTGCCTTAAGACTGAACTTTATGAATGATACCATTGCCCTTTCTTCCCCTCCCACCTCAGAGCTGGATTGGGATCACAGAGCTAGAAGGTGTCTTTAGTCCAAACCCCTGACGTTACAGATGAGGAAACTGAGGCACAGAGAGGTTATGTGATTGGCCCAGGGTCACATGGGTAATAAGGGGCAGAGCTGAGATGTGAACTCCAAATTCGGCCCTCTTTCCACTATACAACACTGATTCTTGTCAAGGGGACTTAGAGCTCTCGTAGACTTGGGGCTTTCCTTGTACAGATGATGAAACTGAGGCACAGAGAATGTAAAATGACTTGCTGAAGATTACACAGGTACTGAGTGGCAGACCCAAGTTTTGAACCCAGGTCCTCTGCCTCCAAACCCAGCACCGTTTTCATTATTCCAAAGAGGAAGAAACAACATCTAGTGTCATCCCGTCTCAGAATCCAAAGGATTGTCAGAGGTATTCTAAGCCAACCTTTGACCCAGCACGTCCAGTATGCCCTCTGTGGCATCCCTAGCAAGGGCCAGCTAGCCCCAGGAGATAAGAAGAGCTAAATGTTTGCAGGATACTGTCATGCCAACAATTCATTGCAGTAGATAGTGTATTATTCTTCCCATTTCACAGATGAGAAAATCGAGGCTCAGCACAGTGGAAGGGTTTGCCCATAGTTTCACAACTAGCAAGTCTGCCTTGAACTCAAATCCTCTCACTCCAGATCTGCATTTAAATTTATGGAGGAACTTAAAAAAGTTTCCTATCAGGTGGTCTTGAACTAGGAACAGGGTCATGAGAGGTCCTGGAAAAGCCAGATTGTGACTCAGTGACAGTGTGCTCACTCCTCACCCCCAAAATTCACAGCCTGTAAACTGAGGAGCGCAGACCCAGGTAATCTTCTCCAGAAACAGACAGGGCTAGGTTCCCTTCTCAGGTCAAGCTTCCTCACTCTGGACCCACCTGACCCCACAAAGTAACAATCTCTCTACCACCAGGACCACCTGAGTACCCCTGAGGTTCTGGTGTGGCAAAGAACCAGAGGGTCCTAGATAATCAGAACTGGAGGGGTACTCAGCATACAGAATTTCAGAGACGGAAGTGGTCCTTAGAACACAGAATGTCAGACCTGAAGGGATCTTAGAACACACAGGATGTCAGGGCTACAAGGAACCTTAGAACACAGGATGTTAGATCTAGAAAAGGCATTAGGATATAGAACATCAGAGCTGGGAGGGTCTTTAGAACAGAGAATGTCAGAGCTAGAAGAAACCTTAGAACAGAAAATGTCAGAGCTAGGAGGGGTCTTGAAACCCAGACTGGCAGAGCTGGGAGGGTCTTTAGAACACAGAATGTTAAAGCTGGGAGGGGTCTAAGAACACAGGATAGAGCTAGGAGGGTCTTTAGAACAGAGAATGTCAGAGCTAGAAGTCACCTTAGAACACAGACTGTCTGAGCTAAGATGACCTTTAGAATACAGGCTATCAGAGCTAGGAGGATCTTTAGAACACAGAATGTCAAAGCTGTTGGGGGTAGGGTAGAAACCATCTAGTCCAATTTCCTCTTATAGGAGGAAACAGAGTCCCAAAGAAGAGAAATAACTTTCAAAAACTGAACACAGCTGGTCAGTGGCAGAACTGAAACAAGATCTCTAGACTCCCAAAGGAAGAGGCTAAACCAGAGACCAAGAGAGCTCAGGTTTATCCAAGTACTGAAAGAGAGGGATCTGATGGCTTCTTCTACCCACATCGTCCTTCCTCTCCCCTGAATTTCCAATCACTTTAGCTCCTTTTCTCCCAATAAGCTTTTTATCCCAAGCCCCTGGAAGCTTGGACATTGGCGAGGGGGTCATGCAGGGTTCCCTCCCTCCCAAGCTCCCAGTTCCCTGCCCATGGTCCAAACGATGACGTTCCTAGTTTTGGACTCGCCCCACACATGCCCCTACCCCAAGCCATGCTCTTCAATTTATTTTCCTGAGGCGAGATTCCCCATCTGAAACAGCTGGCAGAGTTAGTGCCTCCCTGGCGCAGCTGCCCACTCCGCCTTCTATACTGTCAAAACACCTCGTGTTTTTGGCAGTGATCCAGTAACGTTTCCAGTGGGACAGGTTCACCTGACTGGCAGCAACCTGTAGAGTGCTTCCCCAGACATCGCCCCCCTGCCGAGAGCCTGGTGCAAATCCTCACTCACACCCTCAGTTCCTGGAAGGCGGAGAGCCATCATGAGATGAAAAGAAACAGGCTCGGAAATTCCAGGCCCTTACCGGTAGATGTCAAGTGCGGTCTCAGTACCCACCACACAGACAGCGTGGGTGGGCTTCTGCAGGGACAGCCGAATTGCTCTCTGCTGGGCCATGCTGACAACCTCAGCACAGAAGGGTGTGGGTGCCTCCTCCCTCCGGAGCCGGTCCCCGGTCCTCCAGGCTCCGGCAGGTGAGGCACACTGAACAACGAAAGAATGGGAGAGCAGGAACAAAGATTGATGGTTTACCCTCCTCCGCCTGCCTTTTAATTTCACCCTGTGACCTGATTAGCTACAGCCCTTGTCCCCACCTCCTGGCTCCATGCCTAGGGTTCCATTATTAGGTCCTAAGATGCTGTCAATCTAACAGCTGAGAGACAATCAGGTGGAGAAGCTACTTGAGGGAATTGGGGGGCCCACGGCTTAGAACAGCTATTGGACCCAGGGCAAGCAGAAGGATGGGGTGTACAGGTCTTTGAGACCTCCTACAGGTATGAGGAAAGGGGAATCACATAGGTTTCATACCTGGGAGGGACCTCAGAGTTCATCTTATCAAAGTCCTTCATTTTACAGATAGAGAGACTGAGGCCGGGGGAGGATCAATGACTGACCTATCTTCACATGGTTCTAATAAGGAGATTTGAACTCAGCTCCTCTGACGCTAGAAACAGTGCTCTTCCCACTACACCTGCTGCCTATGGAAACCTCAATGGCATAACCAGCTTCTGCTTGGACTATTCCACACACACCCCCTCCCCACACCCTGCCAACACACACAATCAGGCTGGCCCTCCAGCTTAGAGCCGGGGGCTGGGCATGCCTGGGGCCATCAAATCAGCAGTCTTAATGTTCCTTTGGTGGATGCTGGAGATGAGGGCCTCAGATCTTCTTTCATCAATCCCTGGGAAGGACCACAAAGGACTCTGGTAAAAGAGGTGGGAAAAGGAGATGAGGAAATGACAGGAAAAACCCAATTCTCCTGTTATTCCCTGGCCCCCCAATCAGCCAACTATTAAGAAACTATTAAGCGTTTCTTATATATCAGGCATAGTACTGAGTGCTAGAGACACAGAAAAGACAAAAAGTTTGCTCCTTGCCCTCAATGGGCTTACCTTCCAATGGGAGGAAATACTCCAATAACCGCATACATAGGGGATGCAGAGAGTAGATAGAAGGCAATCTCAAAGCGCCGTGTATATGTATATTGATGGGGGAGCTGGCTGCAAGGACGAGAAAAGGCCTCCTGCAGAAGGTGGGATTTGAGCTGGGCGTTTAAGGAAGCCCAGAGGCAAGAGCAGCTTTATACTCAGAAAATTCCGGACCTGCCAGGTACCTTGGTCTGCTCTGTAAAAGCTCTGTTTGTTCATCCTTGCCCGCAGAGAGCTTCCAGTCTGAAGGGAGAGAAGATACGGTTTTTGCCCTTAGGTAGCATCTGCTTTGAGGAGACAGCGCAATCCTGCCCCCGGGATCTCTCCAGGGGAACCTGCGGCCTCAAGGCCACATGTGGTCTTCTAGGTCCTCGGGTACCCCCTCTGGACGGAGTCCAAGATTTACGGAACAAATTCTTTTATTAAGGGTATTTGTCCTATGAAGTTTGGATTCATCCAAAGGGACGAATTTGAGGACCTAGAGGGCCACATGTGGCCTCAGGGCTGCATGTTTCCCACCCCTGGAGACTGCCTTCCATCTGTCAATCGTCTGCTATTTATCCCAGATACAGCTTGCTCTGTATATATTTGTTTGCATGTCCTCTTCCCTATTCTTTGAGATCTGGGACTGTCTTTTGCCTTTTTTTTATCTCTAGCACTTAACACAGTGCCTGGCACATACTAGGGGCTTAATAAATATTGATTGATGAATATACTTAATCACCTGTACTTATCTCCCCTCCTCCCAAACAAAGGCAAAAATAAAATTTACATGTAAAAAAAAAAAGGAAGATGCTACTTTATTATCCCTACTTTCTAGATGAAGAAACTGAGGCAGACAGAGGTGAAGTGACTTGACCAGGGTCACATAGCTAGTAAGTGTCCGAAGTCAGATTTGAATTCACATCTTCCTGACTCCAGATCCAACATTGTGCCACCCAGCTGCCTCTGTATGTTGTTTTGAGGTTTACCAAGTGTGTTATCCTCAGTTTCCTCATCTGTAAAATGGGGTTAGTAATAGTATCACCCTCATAGAGTTGCTATGAGGATAAAGGGAGAGAGTAGGCATAAAGCTCTTAGCAAACCTTAAAGCAACATGATTCCTAGTTTTATTAACCTAACAACCCTGGGAGGTGAACTCTACCATTGTTCTGCCCACTTTCCAAATAATGAAACAGGTTTATAGGGGTTAAGTGACTTGCCCATGGATATTCAGCTGTGCACTTCAAACCCAGGTTTCTCTTCACTCCAGACCCAGCATTCTTTCCAGGCCTCTAATGGTGGGAGAACTCTAAGAACTCAGAGTTCTTGTCTCAGGGAGCTCTTACTCTGAGTGGAGAGTCAGAGCTCTACCCTTGGGAACCCCTAGTAGGGGTAAGGGGAGAGGACGAAAGGGGAAGAAGAGAAAGTCACCCACTAAAAAGAAGTTAAGAGCACTTGCTTTTAAGACAGAAAAGAAATGGCGTCCAAAGCATGCTTGGTATTGGTTTCGCATTGAGCTGGAGCCATGATGGAGTAGTCTTTGACAGCAGGGAGAGGCTAGCCTGGGAGACTGAGAGGGATGCAGGAGGTGTCCCAGTCAGCCCACCTGTTCCTGTGGAAGCAGCAGGTCAAACAGACGGGTAAATGGCCTGAACCAGCCAGAGTTGAGAGGCAGCCTGGGCTGGGGGAAAGCACAGTAGACTGTGGGACAGGGGACCCTGGTTTAGTCTCCAGCCCTAGGACTAATTTGCTAAGCAGTCTTGAGCAAATTGCTTTTTGATTTGACTGAGCTCAAAGGCTGTCTTTCGACTTTTTTGTAGCCCCAGCATTTAGCACAGCACCTAGAACATAGTAGGTGAGTAATAAATTTTTATTGACTGACTGACTTCCTCTAAACCTCAGTTCCCTCTCATATAAAATGACAGGGGGAAGGGAGAGGAGAGATCTCTGATCTCTAAGGTCCCACCCTGACATTCCGTGTTCTAGAACTTCCTTCAGCTCTTATATTCTATCTTTTAAGGTTCTTTCCAGATCTCACATTCCAGTTTGTTCTAAAGGCCCTCTCACTTTGACATTCTGTGGTCGAAGGGTCCTCCCAGCTCTGACATCCTGTGTTCTAAGGGTCCTCCCAGCTCTGACATTCTGTGTTCTAAGAGCCCTCCCAGCTCTGATATTCCATGTTCTAAGGTCCCTCCCAACTCTGGCATTCTGTGATCTAAAGCCCTTCTCAGGTTTTGAAATTCTGTGTTCTAAGGTCAGTCCCTAGCCTCACATTCTATGTTCTCAGGTCTCTTGCAGCTCCAATATTCAAAGGAGCTTTAACAACAGGAATTCTCTATATTGATGAAATCTCAGGTCTAGCCTGGGGGAAAAATGTCCCTTCCAGTTCTGACATTTTCTGTTCTAATGTTTTGTGTTCTGAGTCCCCTTCCAGTTCTAACACCCCAGAATTCTGTGAATTAGACATTGGACACTGAATGTGGTTATTCCAGTAGTGGTGGTCCCTAGTTTTCTATAGCTCCAATCTCCTAAAAACTTGAATCTCTCTCCTTCTCATCAGTACCCACATCCATCCTGAACTCATCAGCCTCTCCCCCTGACCCTGGGCTGGAGATCATAGCTGTCAGGGACCAGGAGCAGAGGACAGGTCCATTCTTGGTAGAAGAGAGACTGGTCAGGCAAAGAGGCCATGAGTCTCCCAACCTCCTCAGAAACCCAAACCTTCCATCCTTTTCCCCTCATCACCACCCTTCCCCAACCCCCACTGTCCCAGGGAGGAAGGAACATGAGTGGGGAAGGGGCTAATGAGGAAGGCAAACAGAGGGCCTTTGACTCAGCCTGAGCGAGGGAGAAAGATTCATTGCAATGATTGCCCAGTCTGCCCAGGTCAGCCGTGGCCCTAATAACAGGAAGCCACATGTGCCAATGGCTCATTGGTAGAAAAGAAATGAAGCTCAGACCCCACTGGTCCATGCCAGTAATTACCCAGGGGACAAGAAGGCTAAGGGATGGGGCTGATGCGGGAATGATGGGTGGAGGGGAGTGGAACAGAGTGTGCCCAAGGCTCACATCAGAATTCTCTCCACCCGGGGCTATCTGGTTCTCTCTTTGGCCAACATCTCCCACTACAGTCAGAGCCATTTCCATTTATCCTGATCCATATCTGGCCACTGGACTCAGGTGGCTCCAGAGGAGAAAGTGAGGCTGGTGACTTTGCACAGCCCTGCCTCACTTCAATCCAATTCACCTGCAAGTCATAAATCACCTTCTCAAGGTCATGGTCCTCTTTAAGAATGAAGGACAAACAATATTTAGTCCTCTACTGACTTCTTGGGGAGACCCTTAACCTCTTCTTTTTTTTTTTAAGCAATTGGGGTTAAGTGACTTGCCCAGGGTCACACAGCTAGTAAGTGTCAAGTGTTTGGTCTGAGGCCAAATTTGAACTCAGGTCCTCCTGACTTCAGGGTTGGTGCTCTATCCACTGCGCCACCTAACTGCCCCTAGCCTCTTCTTTATAGGAGTCCAAATGGTGCAGTGGAAGGAATGTTTGATTTGGAGTCAGAAGACCTGGGTTTGGATCCTGGCCCTGCCATTTCCTAGTTCTATAACTTTGAGCAAGTGCCTACCAGATGGGGCCTCAGTTTCCTCTTCTTTAAAATGGGTTTGAACTAGAGGCCTTCTAGGTATCTTAATCTTAATCTTAGGTAATCTAGGGTATTTTAGCTAGAGCCTTGGACTTAGAGTTAGGAAGCCCTGGGTTAGGAAGCCCTCTCAGATACTTACTAGCTATATGACCTTGGACAAGTTCATAGAATCATAAATGGAGAGCTGGAAGGGACCTAGAGATCCCTCATTTTACAGAAGAGAAAATTGAGGCACAGAGGATGTAAATGACTTGACTAGGGTCACACAGCTAGTGTCTGAGGTGAGATTTGAACCCAAGTCTTCCAATTCCTAGTTTCTCCCCATCATATCACTCACACTGTGTAACATTGGGTCAGTCACTTAACAAAGGGGGCAGGACTTGATCTGATGGTCAAATGGAAGAATGGCTGCTCCAAAGTCTTTCACAGT